TCAAACTGACGTCATCAGAAAAGGAATGCCATTCCAGAGCGGAAGTAAATGTTCAGATTTTGATTAAAGATTACGAAGACAAACAATTTTTTCAGCGGATTAACTTGCACGGATTAATTGTTCACATCATTACTAGCAATGTGCGCTAGTAAAGTAAATAAAGTCAATTTTGATTTCATGCGGACTTTAATGGTATTTTATTATTTTGGTTGCATTTAATATATTATACTTTCAAGAAAGTATTTTCATTGGGTTTGTAAAAGCTGTTTTGATGCATGTTTTGGTCTGAGTTTTTGTTGCATTTACACAGTTGACCAGCAGGCATCACCAGCGTGTGGTGTTTCCAGTGCTTACACAGTTTTGACCAGCAGGCGTCACCAGCGTGTGGTGTTTTGAGCGCTTCGAAACTTTTGCGAAGTTTTGCGAAGCAATTGGTTCAATTGATTCGAAGCTTTGAAATGGTTCGTTTCTCCCATCACTACCGTTCTGTGCTCATCATCATATTTCCACCACTTAAACAAGCCACTCTTCTTTCAAACATGATCATGTTTTATTTCACATGTCATTGCGTTTGCGTTGGCTCTCGTGCTGAGCTATTTCATTTTCAACCATTAAAGTATTCGATTTCTACAACGACTCATTCGGCGCACATCATTCTCTTTCTATGAAACCTGTAAACCGCATTCAGCGGCTCTAACTCTATAGCGACACCAACTCTATAGCGGTTTGCCCAAGCATTGCAATTATTTCACATTTACTAGAATTCAGTCAAATGGCTTTCCCAACTAAGTTTTTTTGCGTGTGTCCTGTGCGCAGCATATTATTCTTCTGCGCGGTCGTGATATAAGAATTGCGGGTCCGTGCACACGCATAACTTTTAGAGGGAATATATACGTGTGGATTCTGCTTGAAGTGTGGCGTCTACATGGGCCCTTGCTAGAGGTACTTTTTTTACAGTACATTTGTATGGTGGAGGCTGGTCCTTTCCCCATACTTCAGACTTTATAACCTGTATGAAGAAAAAGCATCTACAAATGATTTAAATGAGTGAGGCTATCTTTTCCATTGTGCGATTAAGCAGCATTGAGTTCCTACTGAATGTAACCCTGGTATCCTGAGTGGGAATGAGAAGCTGCGTAGCTGACCATACTCTGTTGCTGCAGAGGTTTGTTCACCTTGCAGAAAATCTATGGTTATGGTGCTAAACACACTCTTACAAGAGCTCTATGATACAGCTCCTTATTACCTTTGTCTCTGCTAAAGTATTAGCACCATCAGCCAAAAAACTGACGTGATTATTCAGTGCTCAGACCTTGTGACCACTTACACATTCACATTGTGTCATTATATAGCATTTCGTTCCCACTTAGGGAACTCAGTAACCTAGACATTTTGCAAAAAAAAAAAAAAAACCTTAAATATTTACATCATTTATTTTAAATAATTATGACTAATTATTCCCTGGTATGTAGAATACATTTAACCCAATAATTTACATAACTCTAAAGTTATACTGCAAAACAATTAAGATACATAAAAACTGATTTTAATTTAATCATACAGCACCAAAATTCCATATCGTTGCCACCATATTGTTTTTAAATAATTATATTGATTATATAATATATTAAACTATAACCGCACAGGTGTTATCTGGCTACATTTTTTAAGACCTTTCTAAATTTGATTTAGAGAAATCACACAAATCAGATTCACTCAAACAATTATCCCATGTTTACAGCCCTGTTTTGTTCAGTACTGATCAGTTCAGTAACTCAGGCCCATTGAAGAGGCACACTTGCTCTGACCTTAACTTTTATGTGCTGCAGGCACATAAACACTTAAATGCTATCCAACCATGAGAAAAAGTTCACAGTTTATCAGTCAACCACTCTGCAAGCATGTTGTTGTTTTTTCTCACTTTGTATGTGTTTACAGCGTCTTCTTGGCATTTTAATTTTGCTGTCAAGTTTTATCCACCAGACCCCTCCCAGTTAATGGAAGACATTACAAGGTGAGTAAAGTTAAATGCTATGGATAGTTCTCAACGTACATGTTTTTTTTCTTCAATGGCAAACGTCAATATGTAGAAAGCAGGATGGCTAATATATAAATAACTTAATGTGACATACATAAAATTCGTAATATCATTGAGAGCATTTCGTTTATTTGTGTAACTTTGGTTCCTTGAGTTGGCTTACTCAACACTGTGTCAGTTTGACGCTATGCAAACACTATAACACAATGCCATACAACGAAGTGATCTGCAATTTATTACCCTGTGAGTAAACAAGTCAATATCAAGACTATAAAACCTGCTAAAAGTGTGAAGAGAGGCCCAACCTGCTGTGACACAAATATCTTCCAAAGACACTCCTCTTGCTAAAACCTCTTGTAGAGTGCACTCAAAAGTACCCCACATGCCTCATATGCCTTCAAAATAGTATTTCTCACCCAATGCAACATTCTTGGCTTGGCAGACTTACAACCACCGTTACAACCACCAAAACAAATAAACAATAGGTCAATGTAAATCTTCAACACCATAAGGCTACGTTTAAATGACAATGATGTAGTCAAAAATGGAAAAGTTTTTCCCTTGCATTTTTAAAAAGTTTCACATATACACGATAACGTTTTTTTCAAAAACGAATCGCGTTTACACATACCCGCAAAAACAGCCAAAAATGCTGTATTACGTATGCCAGGCCAGTAGTTGGTGCTGTCACCTTGTTTGTAAACAGTACCTGTAGGGAAGTGACGATTATATGTTGT